TAGTGGTGGAAACGTAGAAATCTTCGAATTTATTTTGACTTCTTTGTTTGCTTGTCAAAGAAGATTTAGAGATTCGATACATCTCTATCTAATGATGAAGACTCAACACCAAAGACTCTACAACTTGGTGCAAAAGGGAAGTATTTGAAAGTTTTGGAAAGTTTTGAAAGATTTGTGGAAGTCAATTTCAGTTTTAACTTTAGGATTTTGATGATTTGAATTTAATGCACAGGGTTAGGGCCGTGTATTATATTTTGAGACTTGTCTTATTTTTAAGTTTTGGACTTTTGATGCGTTGGAGCATTGAAATTTAAATTTTGAAAAGGGCGATTATTTTATTGTTTTAAAATATTCGAAAAAAATTTTTGGGTAGAGATGTTGTAATATGGTATTTAGAGATATCTTTTAGGATATCTTAGTTTTAGTATAACGTTTACGGGACGTAGAATTTAGTATGTGTTTCCGGGTATATATTAACCAATGTTTTTATATGTTCGTATTTGGGAGTTACACATTTTGAGTGTAAGTCGGTTGGCTGGCAGAACTACTGTCAGACTAACTGTCTGTAACGAGCCGTCCGCTCACTTTGCACCTGACTAACAGCCAGACCTGTGGTTGGTCCTCGCGACCACAGCGTGACTGCTAGTGGAGTGCTCATTGGCGAGACGGCGTGTCACGTGGTACAAGCAGATGCGTTGTGCCGTCACGCAGTGTGGCGTGACGAGTTTTGAGAGTATACCCGAAGAGCCGGATGTGGAGAGCTCACTTCTTAGTTGCCCCTTAATCATTTTAAGGGATTCAAATTGACGGTAGCCAGTCTTACTGAGCACTACCAGCTGTGATTAGACACGTCGAGTGATCTATAATCACGTCAATTGATTAGAGCGAACACTTGGAGGTTTTTATCTGTTGACGTTCACTTTGTATTACTTTTCCATTTAATTAATTATCCATTTTAGTTTACTCGTTTCATTTCTACTATACGGTACGCCCTGCCGTTCGTGCTTCGTGACTAGAGCTTGACTAGCATACACTAAATACCAAGAGAACTCGGTTTTCTATACATGGGCATTCCTAGATTCCTACATGTAATGACTAATGAACAAAAATACCAACGCATGACCTAAAAGTAAACTAGTCTAGTCTTACAATTTCAACCCAAATTTGAATTTATGTTAAAAAAGTTAAACTTTCTAAGCCTGAATTTTGAAATTTAACATTAATTAGTTTAACTTTTTTAACTTTTTTTAACGTGGACCCCCCCTATGTGATATTTAATTGTGTTATTATTATTACCTTCATGATTAAGATAGCTCTAAAAAAAGTTAAAACCTGTTTTTAAACATGAAAAATGTGACCAACAATCAACATGCTCTATAGTTTCCATATTGGGTTCATATTTGGATTACAGCTTGATTGCTGCAAGCTTCCCTAGTGTGAAGTGTCTGAATATTTAATATTTAATCATGTTTTAAACACTTAAGAGTTGAAAGCATTAGAGACTAAAGCTAATGTTGCGTACAAAACTCATTAAGTAGGGCGTCTTTTCGTGTAATTCATTTCAGTGTGACGCAGCTGGTTCGTATAATAACTATTTAGCTGTAAAGCTAGAAAAGAGTAAAAGAGTAAAAATATGAGAAGAAGATCGTTAGTCTAGACCCAGTCCCTTTTGTATACCTTTCTTTAGGAGCACGTCACGTCCAACTATCACTAGTTATTGTTATGATCATAACTTAGTAATTGGTAACTTATCGAGCAAAAAGGTTTCTTTTCTTAAAGTAGCTGAATTCGTTTATAATACCTGGGTATGTGGTATGGGTCATAGCGCAAAAAAAAGTACGAATTTTTTACGAATCTTTAGTATGCGGTAGCAGGTTCGATTTCATCGTTCGAATCGATGAAAGCTTAATGACTTTTATATTTGTGCATTTCCATAGCGAAACATAAGGATACATCACTTAGCACTGCAGTTGTGCTATGTGGAGACCGGTATGTTTTCCAGTTCTCCTATTACTGAGATGTATTATATTCTGATAAGCTTGTTGTGTATAAAACAGCTATAAAGTAAAGTAGGCTACAGTAGTTAGCCCATTTCTACCGCAAGAGGGTATAACGCTGCCAATTTACGGACGTTAAACGATTTAAACGTTTGTCGTTCATGGAACATTAACAAGTTTAAGTTGTTCGCTAGCTAACCAATAGTAATACTTTTACTTCTAGCAGCCGATACTGTTAACACTTTTAACAATTTTAACACTTTTAACACTTTTAAACTTATTAATTCTACACTGCTTACATTTTACAGCAATACACACAAGGCTCGACCGGGATCCCGGCTTAATCCCGGTCTCGGTCAAAAATCGGCCGGGACCGGGAATCCCGGTCCCGGCTAAAATGCCGAATTTTGACCGGGACCGAACCGGGATTTTTTTCTAAATTTTGTTTGACCATTTTATTAAATTATCGAAAAACTTTTTGCACAAATGAACGATTTTTTTGAAAAACTGAAATTTTAAGCAAAATTATTTCCCAATTAATCAACAAAACACTGTCAGAGTTAATTGCCAGTTTGTTGGGTGAGCTGTGCTTGTGCTTTTAAACAGTAGCGGATACCAGGTTTTAGTGTCAGATTTAAGTGCTGGTTTGTTGTGCTGATAGCTGTGATTTTAATCAGTAAAGGATACCAAGGTTGTAGTGTCAGAGTCAGTAAATTAACACATGCTACCCTACGTAATGTCCTCGTCATCTGATTCGTCGGTAAATCTAACTGCCTCTTCATTAGACTCCGTAACAATACTCTCGTCGTCCGAGTCGTCTTTGTTCAGATTGTTCGGGGCAAGGTAATATAACCAATAACCATTAACCAATCAGGAGGGAACTTGAGCTGATATATATTTCGTAGTTTATGGCTCTTCACTCTTCAGTTGTACTTGTATTTGATAATCAAGTTGATTTCTAAGTTTTCCGGCAGGAGGCTCAGTCTGCTATCTCCTACAATGTTTTTCGCCACCTTGAAAGCCCTTTCACTTGCGACTGAGAAAGGAGGTGGACAAAGGAGGTGAGATGGGGTACAGAGTGTGATTTTTCCTCCAGAACTCCAGAGGATTACGTCTCTGGGGCTCCAGCTTGTCCTTCAAATATCTGGTAACATCTTCCCTTACCACGTTGTTCAGAGATCAGGGCCCGTCTGAAGTACTGCGTAGGAGTTGGTCAGTTGGTTCCAAGTCGCTGCATCATCGTTAATCTCTCTGACTGAGTCGTTAGTATCACTGTTTCTTCCCTTCTCGATATCACTGTCCGCACTTATTCTTGTACTCTTTCTTTGTCGGAAGCCCCACCTCTCTCTTAAACTTGGAGATCAGGAACTCTTTGGCGGCTTGAGATTACCATTTACCTTATAGGTAAAGAGTCGCTCTGATAAACCACAACGCGACGGCTAATCGGACTCCAATAGATTCGGATAACCAAATACAAGTAATATTTTTTACGCTTAAATCAAATGTAGAATATTCTAACAATCCAATATAATTGTACCGTCAATTCCAAATATAATGTACATTGTACCGTCACAATAGTGACTTTAATATCAACCAACTTGATCAACCAACTTGCTGACATAGCACATTGTTTAAATACTGCACCTAACGCCATTATTGATTATACATGATCAATTATAAGATCAAAGAATATTGAAAGTAAAATTTTTGTTAGGTACGATCCCGGCTTAATCCCGGTCCCGATCTTATTCCAGATCCCGGTCTTATTCCCGGTCTCGGTTCAATCCCGGTCCCGGCACTTTTTTCCAGTCCTGGTCCCGGTCGATCCTTGAATACACACTACACATAATTTTTTGAACTGACTGTAACCTAACTGTAACTTAATACAGTATAGTAGCACAAGCGCCGCGTGATAACAAAATAGTATCATGATGTTAGAGTTATCAGGAAGACTGTTTGGTTTGTACCAGATGTTCTGGCTATGTGGTAACGGCTATCTTTAATTTATTTAGTAATTATTGGCATAAAAGTTTCACTACCACTCTTTCACATGAGTTTGTCAGTGAAAGTAGACTTTCAATGAGACCGAAGTTAATCATGGTACATATTGCTAGAATATTTTGAGTCGCATTTTAAAAGTTGCAAACTTGTCAAAAAGAGCCTTCAATATCATGGTATTGGTACGCCCAATCCTAGACCGCGAGGCATCGCGAGGCACTGCATCTCTCAGCAATCCTCAAACCCTCTTTTTTAACATCAGTACCTTTGTTAACTTGGCACCCTTTACTTTTAGTAGTTTCGATCCGTGTCGGGCCAGGGCGTTTGTTTCAACATTTATTTATTTACGATTCATTTACGATTCCTTGACGTTTTATTTACGATTTATTGATATTATTCTTATTCTAGTAAATCATTTTCTTATTTCGTTAATAATTTCCACTCAGACAATCTACATATTAGGTGACGAAATAGGTAGGTATACGAGCCGTGAGCAGCACAAAGTAGACAAGTTTAGTAGATTTGTTTTGTGTCACTCAGAACAGGCAGACTAGTTTAACTATATAAACCATTGCACTAAACCTTGCCGTGCCAAACAGTGATCCTTGTTGTGCCAAATAGTGATCCTCGTATCTTCCTCGTTCATACACAAACCTCTTGTATATACCAACCTCTTTTATGACATCGTACGAGTAATTTAGTTGTACGCAGATAAACGGTTGCTCAGGTGCGAATGACCAGTATACGACAACACAGCTAAGGGATCATTAATACAGGAATTATCCAAGATACACAACAATAAGTGATTGCTAATTAGGCCACTAAGTGGTTGCTAATTAGGCCATCTATTCCCGAGGAACTGAACATGCTATCTCCCTAATTTTAGTCGCGCTAATTTACTACAATATGTAGTGGCTTAATACCTGTCTTAGTTAACTCGTTAACTACAACTTGGTGCCAACTGAACGACTCTCGCTTAATTTGAGGAAACCATTTTCTAGGCATGTCCTCGTTTGTTATCTGCACATTTTCTTCGGTGGGGTTGGCGATGTAGATTCCTGAGTCATATAATGACAATGTTCCTTTTCGATTCGATACCCCTGGGAGTCAAGTATGTCTTTACTTATTATTTGCTTTCTTTTAGCTCATATACTAAGATTTAAATTACAAACGTTGAGAACATAATTTGTGTCTGAATAAGGCAGTAGAATATTCATTGTAATTCTAATAGCAATCTTAGTTCCTAAAGCAATTAGCCCTAGAGGATATTCAGGCATTTTAATAATACAAATTCAGTATTTTCTGTTGTATACTTGTACAGTGTTCTGATCTTAAAGCATTTAGCTGAGGTATTTAGTCGCTAATTAACGACTAATTTACGGCATACAAACAGGTAGTGAGTACATTGACTCTGAACGCTATGAGACCTGTTCATGACCTGACTTTCTCTATTAAGTAGAATCTAACCCATACTCTTATTCAGATTGTCTGCCGCTGATTTTCGTGACGTTTGGATGCACTACGACTCAGATGGGAACGGTTTTATTGAGGAACAAGAAATTAACAAGTTTCTATCAGACCTCTTTGAAGCACAGGTAGAAAGTATTTTGCAACTGTGAGCTGCGCTGTTTAGTGCTTCCTAGTTAAGTACCAACTTAAAGATCTAACAAAGATGATATCGATCTTTCTTCGCAGGGCCAGATTATCTCCAAGTCAGACATAGCGGGACTGAAACAAACCCTCCTGGAATGCTATGATCTAAACAGGGATGGTAAAATAGAACTTTCGGAGATGTCTAAGATCCTTCCTGTTGAGGAAAACTTTCTCCTCAAGTTCAAGATACAAAACAGACCCCTGACGTACCCCAACTTTCTGAGAATCTGGGAGTATTACGATCGTGATAACAGTGGGAGGTTGGAGCGCAAAGAGCTGGAGAGTTTCATGACAGATCTTATCAGGACCAACAGGGTTTGATACAGAACTTAGGTGTTTTTACTAAGATTAACGATATGCACTCACATTTATGTACATATTAACAGTGGAAGTATATTGGAAGTACATATATTGGAATTACATTGCATGCTTTTTCGTTTCTAATGCGAAAATTCGCAGAACATCTCTATCAAGGAAGCGGAGATGGATCTAATAATGAACGAGATATACTCACATTTTGACGGGAACCACGACAAGCTGATAGAACAGGATGAGCTGAAGCTGATCCTCCAAGTTCCCACCAACTTCCTGGACCATATTGAGCTTTACAAGAACCTGAACAAGCAGGAGTTTACTGAGATCTTCGAACACTACGATAGGGACAGTAAGTGGAATTATTCTTGAGAGTGTCGTATCTTGCTTGTTTTACCGACATTTTATTTATATGATTCTTTAAAGATTCAGGGAAATTCACACGCCACTTTCCTTAGGAGATGGGTTTCTGGAGGGAGAAGAGTTGATGGAGATAGTTAGCGATATGATGAGGAAAGTTGAGATAGACCTTACCGTGGACCAACTAGAGAATCTTGTAGAGGTTAGTCTGGCATTTTGGAGATACACCCATTTTTGGCGGAGAAGTCGGTGTTAGCGGGGAATCGCTATTATAGCGAACATTTCATTTAACAGTGAATTTAAACATCGGCAAAATCCTGGATCCATCGTGACCATGGCAATTTATTGCCTATTAGAAATCCTAGCTTGCTTTGCGAATTGTAATGGACGCTAATCTTGTCATATTTCAGAAAGTTGTGCGAGTTATAGACACTAATTTTGATGGAAAGATCAGCAAGAAAGAATTATCGGATCTGTTTTTCACGTCAGGTCAAATATCGCCCATCCCGGAACCAGAGCCGTCTGGTAGTGACACTTGATAGAAGCTACTTTTAATTCAGAGTTGTTAACATTGGGAGTTGAGATTCTTATTTGATTTTAAATTGTCGCTCGGGAGATTTTAAAAAATTTGATCAGAACAAAACAAATATTGTTTTTATCATGAGATTTTATTTTGCAAAATCCTGGGTTTTCCTGTTATTATTGCAAAAATATGAAGTTTTAGATCACAGGAAACTGAATCTTACTTGCTTTTGATTCTTGTACCGTGTCACAATTTTTATTTTGGTTGTTTTAACATGAAAAAATGAATTGCTTCTGAGTTCTATGGGAACAATATTATCGTTTAATTAAAACCAACATACATTTTTACACTGTATTTCGGAACAGATATCGCAAAAACTAAATACAAAACCGTTGACGGTCGTATTATATCTTAAAAGCTAAAGAATACTGAAAAGAGTTTTGTCAAATACAAATACGTGACTTTAAATCAATTAAAGACTGAAGTTCTTGAAAAAACGTGATCACCAATATAGAACTCTGTTTTTATAAATACTTTGCCTGCTTCGTCTGATTTTCTACAAAGTTCTATTCAACGTTTTTCACTCCACAGAGCATCTGACCGGAAGAATTTATCGACAAGTTTCTGGAAAGCTCTGATGTCATGAGAAAGTGGCGCACGTGGCGTGGTCTCCCAGACCAGCTGTCACACACATCTTCCTCTCACGTGACAGGCACAAGCTCTGCATCACTTTCAGATTTGTCATAACCTCGTCAACTACCTGGGATATTAAATCAGCGTCAAATTGTTCTGCGGAAAAATAAACTTCTTTCAATCTTTTTTAACTGAACCAAAAATATAATTTGAAAGCAGAAAGTTCACTGAAAATCGGTTTATTTATATGCACGTTTAATTTAAACAGTACCTTATTCTCCACAGTATCCACGAGTTTAGCATTTGTGACCCCACTTCCTCCACAGATGACTTTGTCGTGGGTGTAAAACTGTCCGCAGTACAAAAACTCTGAATCCTCCACAGTTCGACAATTCAGAGTCGAGACCAGTTTCTGAGATCTGGTATCCCATAACTGAGGATGTTATATCTTTATGGTTGAAATGGAGCGAAATAAGCAAAATGATCATGGCTAATGACTAATTCATTCAAATTTCACGTGGTTTTTACTGAGTATACTGTATAGTACGGCTCAACTAGACTTCATCATTTTTAATAATGTAATGATACAGTAGAGTTTAGCTTAGCGCGCATAGCTTAGAAGCTAGTATATATATAGTCTATATTTTATAGTATATAATACTTATATAGTATAGATGCGCGGTAACTCACTAACTGCTGAAATTAAGATTTGCATCATTACAATATTTACGCGGGTTCCAAATCAAATGAAAACACGTGGTAGTACTTTGTGACCGATTTTATTTTGCCAGACCAGTCAGTAACCAGACAACAATAAGCACTTGCCGAATTGCGAATACCGCGAAAAATTGTATGAACTTCAATGCCAAACAAACCTGATACATTTAGCGACTGATGACAATCGGGGATTCAAAAAAACTCCAAACATTCCTCTATGCGTGACTAATGAACACCCTTTCTTTGTAAATCTACCCTGCTTTAACATCGCACAAACTCGTTAGGGCCAATTATCCTGGATACGAGACAAAAGGCCTTTGTTTTTTACGACTCTTATTCATCAATAGAGACTAAGCTTGACTTGTATCGAATATATCTACTATCCAGCGGCTTCTGCCGAATTCAAATACAGTGGGCAACGCATATGAAATTGACGTGCACTATTATATGCAATGTTTTCATTTATTGAAGCGTAAATCTAATTAGAACCAACTTTATTGACAGAAGCTGTTTTCCAAATAAACAATTCTTCAACATGACGCATTCGTGAATGCAGCAGTCGGTAAGTAATATGTTCTTTTGTCAGTGACAAACAAGCACACGAACTCTACAAGCTAACAATAACATTTAACAAATAAATTCTAAAATACTTAAATAATTTAGGATTTACCTGCAGAGCGTCTTTAACAAACCAAGATGCTGTTACTAAATAATTTCCTGACTTGTCAATTCCTTCACCGCATACTTTGGGACCTGTAATATGAAGTAGTTACCACATAATTAGCACACAATAAGCTCACAATTAGCATGCAGATTATTATTTTGAGCATTGTTATTGACTGAAATATGAAATTTTTTTTAAAAATTTGTCTCCATTTGAATGAAGAATAATGCATCAATGATAAACCATATAATCAGTTTAAATCGCAGTTGAACAAGAAATTGAATCTGGGAGGCTTCGTGCAGAGACAATTGAATCATAGTTAAGGCCTGGATTTGGACTTTAAAGTTATTTAATCCAACCTACCAGAGACATTCCAAATGACACTGTTAGTTCTAGTGTCCCAGAGTTTGACACTGCTGTCCCACCCCGCACTCATCACAGTAAACTTGTCTACAGGATCGAACTTGGTTACGAAGAGGCGCTGTGAGTGCCCTGTTTGGGATCCCTCCAGACTGAAATATCTAGTTCTTGGTTTAATTGCTAATAACCACAAGTCAACTAGTTCCATAATTATGTACTGACCAGATGTATTTTCAAGTGCAAAGCACACCGAACAGTTCCTGCAAACAGCAAATGGTATACACTGTTCAGAGAATGCAGCGGACAAGGATCAGCGGTAACGGTTGTTGTACAGTTATTTTGGTAATTCCAGTCCACCATCCAGTTGGGAGGTGGAACTGGGCAACTACATAATTTTGGGCGGTTTTAATATTTAATTTTAATTATCGATTTTCTTGATATGATTTTTTAATTTGATTTCGGTAAGACGACGAAAAATTAAGAGGAGATAAGAAGAAGCGCACGTGAGAGAGGAATTCACGACAAGAGAGGCTCACGAGGAGCTACGCCCTAATGGCAACGTTGTTAGTGGGTTGTTAGTATGTGTTAGTAGGTTATTGGTAGGTTATTGGTAGGTTATTGGTAGGTTATTGTTAGGTTATTGGTAGGTTATTGGTAGGTTATTGGTAGGTTATTGGTAGGTTATTGTTAGGTTATTGGTAGGTTATTGGTAGGTTATTGGTAGGTTATTGGTAGGTTGTTGGTAGGTTATTGGTAGGTTATTGTTAGGTTATTGGTAGGTTATTGGTAGGTTGTTGGTAGGTTATTGGTAGGTTATTGATAGGTTATTGGTAGGTTGTTGGTAGGTTATTGGTAGGTTGTTGGTAGGTTATTGGTAGGTTGTTGGTAAGTTGTTGGTAGGTTATTGGTAGGTTATTGGTAGGTTGTTGGTAGGTTATTGGTAGGTTATTGATAGGTTATTGGTAGGTTATTGGTAGGTTATTGGTAGGTTATTGGTAGGTTGTTGGTAGGTTATTGGTAGGTTATTGATAGGTTATTGGTAGGTTATTGGTAGGTTATTGTTAGGTTATTGGTAGGTTATTGGTAGGTTATTGGTAGGTTATTGGTAGGTTGTTGGTAGGTTATTGGTAGGTTATTGATATGTTATTGGTAGGTTGTTGGTAGGTTATCGGTAGGTTGTTGGTAGGTTATTGGTAGGTTGTTGGTAAGTTGTTGGTAGGTTATTGGTAGGTTATTGATAGGTTATTGGTAGGTTATTGGTAGGTTATTGGTAGGTTATTGGTAGGTTGTTGGTAGGTTATTGGTAGGTTATTGATAGGTTATTGGTAGGTTATTGGTAGGTTATTGTTGGGTTATTGGTAGGTTATTGGTAGGTTATTGGTAGGTTATTGGTAGGTTGTTGGTAGGTTATTGGTAGGTTATTGATAGGTTATTGGTAAGTTGTTGGTAGGTTATTGGTAGGTTATTGGTAGGTTGTTAGTATGTGTTAGTAGGTTATTGGTAGGTTATTGGTAGGTTATTGGTAGGTTATTGTTAGGTTATTGGTAGGTTATTGGTAGGTTATTGGTAGGTTATTGGTAGGTTGTTGGTAGGTTATTGGTAGGTTATTGATAGGTTATTGGTAGGTTGTTGGTAGGTTATTGGTAGGTTGTTGGTAGGTTATTGGTAGGTTGTTGGTAAGTTGTTGGTAGGTTATTGGTAGGTTATTGGTAGGTTATTGGTAGGTTGTTGGTAGGTTATTGGTAAGTTGTTGGTAGGTTATTGGTAGGTTATTGGTAGGTTGTTGGTAGGGAATTCGAGGGCGTATATCAGTTAGTATAAACCATAATCTGATGACACTGATCTGTCAATATCCCACCAACTGACTATCCGTAAATACTCCAGAAGGGCAGCAAATCTTTTACATTCTTAGAATCGTGGAATCGATTAAAACATCGGGCAATAATTTATTAGCGGCGTGGCATTGTTTTGAAATTTGATAACGGGGGGTTTTATTAATCAACTTTTAAATTAATTTTCCTGGTATGATTTTTCAATTTGTTCGGTAACATTCGGATGAGGCTGTCGTGCATTTTTAATCAAACAGAAATTTTGGCGACTTAAAATCGTTTCATGATTTCAGTAAGCCGAAAAGTAATAAAAAAGAAGTAATAAAAAACTTGATTCGTTATTTTGAGGAAGGGGTCTGTGTAGCAAAATAAGTTTGAATAGGTAATGAACCCAGTTCCAATGGAGTTCTGTGGAAACAGCCCAGATAAGAATGAGCTCCATGTTTTTTGAGCAGCAAAGTTAAAGACACTTCTGTCATCTCACCAATAGGCCAATACATCTTAATCACAATGAACCCAATAAACCAACAAGTATATAATTACACAAGTTTAAAACTGTTATATTCTTTATTTTAAAACCAGTACTAGCCTGTGAATATTTCCGACATTTTCATATTACGCTACGATAAAGTGCTTGTGTGCATAACAATGCATAGACACAGTAGCCCACATTACAGACACTTCACAACGAAGTATAACGCTGTGGTCAATGAAAAGTGGCTGATTGAGTAGACTTGAGAAGATAGCATGATAATGTGTTTTCAGTATACAGTCCCTTCACTAGACAGTTGCTCACTGGACAACAACTCATCAGTCAGTCATGAAACTGCTCCCATCCCAATTAAAGGTTTATGTCAGCCGTTTTGGGCCTAATCAAATCGACTGGCGGCCGACTTAGCACATTGCCCAATGCGGGTCAGTTCACGTATCGAATTTCAAATTACGAGCCTTCAAAGGAATTTATAGATTAGTCTCACAGTTCATCACAGGATAAATCTAATTCACCAGATTCAGGACCAGCGAAGGTTCATCTGATATTCGTATTTTCATCTGAAGTACTAAGTACCCCTCCTCACGTTTTATTAATTATTTCATTTTTAACGTAAGTTTGCAGTTAGATGAAATTCTAACCGTTTTGAAATGTGAAAATTTTAATTAAGTTATTCTATTAATCACCTTGGTATTTTCACGAACACATAATATTGTGCAGAACAATCTTATTTTCTCAGGCCACTCGGTCAAAACATAAAACCTTCCTATTTTCACTGCTACTTTCATTGTAACAATAATTGAATGTTCTTTTCTTTGACGTGCACAGATTTTGTACGAGATCAGGAAATTGTTTTTCCCAGTCGATCTTTAAATTTCGCTTACTTTTAATACTTTTAATACTGTGCGTCTTTCCGAATTAATTAGTCAGACAGTGTAAAGTCAATACTGGATGTCACATGATCGGCATCTAAAGTTTGTTTAACTTTCAAACAATATATTTTTCTGCAGAAAATATCACATCTTTTACTTACCTAATTCCTTTAGGTCCTTCAAAAACAGTAAGCACTTTGAAAGTCTCCACGTCATAGACAAACACGTATGGTAACTGGAAAAGCCAATTATAACGTCAAAATATTGTTAAAATATGTTAAATTCACGTGTTCGATCTTTAAATTATCCTTTTTTATTATTTAAGTCGGCGCGCGCTCTCATTTAACCGCTGCAAAGATGAATTATAACGAGCAACAAACTTTAGTCGTGCTTCGTAAACTTCAAATGTTAACTGTTAAGTAAACTATAAAGGCAGACATCTTTAAATCGGCTCACTTGTGCATGTATAATGTATATGAGCGAATTAAGGGCTGTGTTATGTGAAACTTGTAAAACTTGTGTGATGTGCTATGATGTTATCTGTAAAACACAAGATCACCTTCGCAAGGAGCATCGGTAACTTCAAAACAGTTAGCAGATAGTTTAAGTCGAGGAGACAAGTAGCATTGGTTACTTCAAAACAAACGATCAAAGTTAGCAGTATTATTAGTTCCTAGAGCGGCATCAATTAAAAGAGTAACTACAAATTAATTGTTCACAGTGAAAACACGTACTTGAGACTAGAGTGAGCTCAAACAAATGCTACCGACAATGAGCCCGGAGTTAGGCTGGCCTGGCTCTAATATAATCCATATTTAACTAGTTTGCAGCTCATTGAATGGAGACTTCTCTTCAAACATTAAATTAACACTAGTAAGAAATGTAAGTAGTAAAACCTTGCCGACTAGCGCGAGATAGGTGTTATCAAGATTAACGTCTACACAGTTTATCTCGTTGTTATCTAACTCCAAAACCCACTGGTTTATGTTTTGTGAGGGGTCTATCTGCCGCACTTTACCACTAGGACCTGGAAATATTCGGAGGATTATAAATATAATAAGTAATGTGTTCAGAACACTGGATATACTTATATTACTCATGTAATGGCTGTTCAATTGAACAATGTCGTCGTTTGGGCGTTTTAAAACGGATTATGATCGAACGTCAAATGATGAGTAATGTTTTGTCTTAATCGTTAAAAAAGACATCATTTGTGATCAGTTGTCGTACATTTCAATAACAACGCGATCATCTTGTAAAGGCAGAAGTTTTAGCGCAGAACGAAACTAAAAGAAGCATGATGTATAGTATGTGTGAACTAAAGTAACCTGTTGCGAAGAAAGCTCCAGAGCCGTAAAGGTATCTGATGGAAGTAACAGGAAGGTTTTTACAAACATTCTGGATAAGAGAGATCTGTTCTCCGGTCTCTACATTATAAACCTGTGGGTAAGACGTTCAAATATTACGTAACCAGCCGGGGGAGGGGGTTTTAAATGATAGCGGTGGATGACCGGGGGGGGAGGGTGGTTTGGCTGGGGATTACGTAATCAACAGTTTCTGTTTGTACGACCGCCCACGTGCAAATTAGGTAGAAAATAGGAAGTTGCATGGTAACCATGGTAACGGTGTTCAAAAGTGCAAGTGCACGTGCAATGAATGTTGTTACGACATTTCCATCGGTTTTGTTGTAATTACGTTGTGTTCAGTGCGAGCTACATTTTAATTGGCTGTATTTTCGGTTGTGAAGGATATTTTTTGATGCTATAAAAACTGACTATCGAAGAATACTATTAACTTCCTCCCGGGCTTTCTAGTATGATATAAAATTATATTATGATTGATAATATTTATCATAATATAATTTGGTTATCAGATTTTTATCCTCAAATTTCAAATTCAATGCGTTTCTTGGCGCCCGTTTTCTGCTACCCACTTCAAGGGCCATTTTGCTCAATAACACACAATAGCGGCACTTCTGACTGTGCAATTTTGATATCCCGTATGGGGTGGCCCTACTGTTGGATACGTTATAAACAAACGATAAGATCCAAGTTGCGACTCAATATCTTAACCTATGGCCCTCATTAGTTCACATGTGAATTTAATATCATGATAACCATTGTATTGTTTAAATGTTGGTCCATCGGTGCCAAATATTACTTGATCTAAACTGTTAATACTTACTTTGTCTACTCACGTTCAAATATTTGATTGAAAGATTTACTGAAATACTGTTTAAAGGTGGCTTCTAAGATCGGTCTAGCCTCAAAAAACGACCAATTCTCTTATATAATTTGGGGCGAGCACCTAAAAGTACCTTTTTGGTCGGACACTATGCAATGCGTGAAGAAGCCACATGTGATTGAAAAAGTCGAGTTCTTTTAGCTTCCAATTGTCACGTTTTCCATACTCAGCCACGTTTTGAAACTCTTGAGATCTTTAACAATATACTCATGCTCAGTTTTATCTGTTAAACATTATCGAATACAGTTGGACGTGCTGTAGGAACAATTGAAATTTCCGCCGTTTGAAAAAAATTAAATTTTCCAACAAACTTCGCAATGATAATTCAGATTTCAGACGTCTCTGCGATATAATAGGGCTGAAATCAGACATCCAAAAATTGCATGCAAAAAGATACCGCGTTAGTATTCTGTAGAACTTGATCGGATTGCATGAAGGTGTCTTTGTATCCTAGTAACTAATAGGACAGTAGGATATATAAATTGAAATTTAAAACGTGTCCTTGGGTTCACGTTCTCGAATCCAACGTAATTGATTTATTTTTGAAAAGCCTCGTGCCCCGATAGTGGAAGAGACCTCGGACCTTACACACAGAGCACACCACGAGGTGGTCACGTGCTAACAACTTCACCGTTCTGATCACGTGATTAGATCATTAGTGATAAGCCAGAAGTGGTATAAAGTTAGCACAGCTGTAATCTTAAAGTGTGAAGTGTGAACTCCTGATAGGGCACCTGGTACCGCAGCTCGTGTTAACAACATTAAACTCTGTTGTTAATTTACTTATAGGCCATTGGTCAATATATCTGTTAGTTGATCTGTTGTTGTTGTGCCTTTTGCCTTTGTTCACCACCAACCTTGGCACTGCAGTTTGTTTTTACTCGAGTTTTTACTTTGCCGAAATATTGTTGTAAAGTGTACTGTTGTTTCAGGTTCTAGCTCAACTTGGTAAGCTAAAATACTAACTAGAAGTTCATATTGTGATAACATATATTATATATTATCTTAAGTATCTATTGGTTTAATAAATGTTAAGATACAACTCTAAGTAGCAAGTACTCACTTCAACGTCCCCATTTCCGTACCCCATTGCCAGTTGATCTGAGACTGATGATAACTGGCAACTGTACACGCCGTTAACACTAAATGTAGGGATTACACGCTTTATGTTGATCGCTTTTGAGGCTTGGTGCACCCTGAAAAATATAAGTGAAATAGTGTGAAATATAAAGTGGAATTATGATGATATTATTTAGATTGCACGGAGATTGGTCAGATTTGTTTCACTATTGTAATAGTGAAATAAAGACTATGAACTATGAAGTGAGGGAGTAATCTTTGGTGGAGATTAATTGCGCGATACAACAAACAAAAAATTTTCGAATTAGCTTTAAGATTCATAGTATTCGCTTAATTTCAGCTGAAGTTCCATATTAATCTAATATATGATATACTGTACAGGCCTCCTCGAGGTATAATATTTTATATAATAATTGTTATCGATTAGTTCAATGTTCGATTGTCTGAGCTTTTCCGTGAGCGGGTCGTCTTTGATGATTTTTGTTTTCATGTGCATGTGGGATTGAATAAAAACACCAGCCAAAACCACCTGACAGTCCCTCCCAAACTAGTAGTCTGGAATCTTCCCACGACGGCAATTCTCTTTGTCAAAGCAATGAGAAAGTCGCCAAAAAAAGAAAACCCCGCCGAGTTCCAGGCATGAAATGAGGAATATTGACCTATTCTGTCGACTTATTGAGTGCAGTGACAAACCTAATTGTGCCCTGCCCCACTCTAATATATTCTGGCAGCAGCGTGCATCTTATCTCCTTAAATCTGTACCTCAATATAGGCTGGATGATATGGTCTCAGTGACATCAGGGAGCACATCATCAAATGTCTCCTCCCCATTGACATGTACTTGTTTTGCAATGCCACTGGCACGTGAAAATGTCACGTTTGATTGAGAAGTAATTATTGCTAAGATTAGGGACGTGACTTGAGGTCTGTCACGTAGCGATCCTATTATATTTTAGAGGCATGTGTTATGACATGTGTTATGACATGTGGACATGATACCAACTCGGTTTTCTATAGTAGCAAGGCATACTCAGCCGGCTTAGCTTTTTGGAAGGCCATAATAATAATCAGGTTCCAAATCTCCTGCGAAATAAAACTATAAGTCCTACAGATCCGAGAACATGAAATACGAAAACAAGACTAACATGGTGTCCAGGAGTGCCAGATTTCGAGAAGACAAATTAAAAAGAAATAAAATATCCATACCAATTATAATGGAGGTGTAGCCAGACCCCTCCTACTCGCCACTCCATACTGACACCTTAAAACATAACACACAACAAAACCTTCGTGAAAGCACCTGGTCACAGCTACAAATAGCAATTAATTTGTACTATACCATTGCTCCCATGAAGATTCGTTTGAAGGGGTAAAAACGTGCGCAGCAATTTCGTCATGGATACGGACTGATACAGAATGATAAAACACCTTGTGCTTCCTCAATCACGGTAATATCAATCACGGTAATATCAAGACTTTTACCACCACGTTTTGTGGCTGTTATCGTACTTGATGATATAGAGGAATAGTATGGCTTATGTTTTGATGATTATAACACAGTACTGCCCTTATTGTATATAACTGTACAGATTGAGTGATTCGAAATAAATGCTCTGAGAGAATCCGGCTTTGAAGGTTGAGTCAAATATTAACGAACGGTTTCCTGTAGAAACACAAGACTCCTAAATTTATGAAGAAAAATCCAAACCCGTTTATATTTCCATTTTGCTTGATAACCACAGTCTTGTCGAAATCCAGAGCACTTGCTAACTTCTGCTTAACCGAGGCCATTGCTATCCTGTAGGGTACTGTGTTAGTATATTGGTTATTAAACAATTCTGTTTGTGAATTATTAAGTTAACCCGGTATAGATTTAATTCTATACCGGGTTAACTTAATTTACCGAACTATTGCTATTCGATATGAAACTACGTTAGCAGTTTAGCAAAGAAAATAAGAAGCTTTTGTTGAAGGTAAAGACTCTCAACTAGTTGGAAAATGAAGTAGCCATAGCTAAATTTTAAATTGCTTTCATAATGTTTTAAACGTTTACCCATATAATTGACTCAAGTCTAAGTAGTTAAATTTGGTCTAATTTCATTATCATGCAATTCAACGATCATATTCATCAGGAGGGGAAGACTTCAGCGAAATTACAACATTCTAACTAGTCAATATGTCATGTATATTATGTTGGTTTTTTTTAAATTGCTCAGAGAGAATCAGTGTGGTTTCAGGAGAAACCGTTCTTGTATAGATCAGCTGTACTCACTTCATTGTATAATACACAATTGTATAGAATTCAACGTCCCTTTGTACATAAACTTTATTGATTTTAAAGCTGCTTTTGATTCAATCAATCGTGACTTTATTTGGAAAGCTTTTGAACATTATGGTCTTCCGACAAAATATATCAATGTTTTCAAAGCGTTCTTTAGAGCAACTGAAAGTGCAGTTCGTGTCAATGGAGAATTGACAAGATGGTTTGATGTCGATTCGGGGACTGGACAAGGTGATGTGCAAGGGCCCCCCATTTTTAATCTTGTACTTAACTGGGGATTAGAACTTGCAGAGAAGTTTAAAAATATATCCCGTGGTTTTACTCTTCAGTACAGACAAAGTTCCAGACAACCGGAAAAATGTGTCATTGATCTGGACTATGCTGATGACATCGCAGGAATGGATGACACTGTTGAAGGACTGCAAGAAACTACGGACAATATTGCGAAATACTGTGGGCTCGGGGGTTTAAAGATGAACGCAAAGAAAACAGAGATCATGGTCATTGGGAAAGATACATCGCAGCACCCACTCCCAGAGAATAGGACCATAGATATAACTGTCGCTGGAAACTCTGCAAAGCAGGTCACTCAATTCACTTATTTGGGTGCCAAAATTACATCAGATGGCAAGATTGATAAAGAAATAAGTGTCAGGATTGGAAAAGCAACTGGAGCTTTTAACCAACTCAACAACATTTGGAAGAATAAGAACATAAGCATTAACAACAAAGTGCGAATCTACATCGCAGCTGTTCTTACCATTCTGACCTATGGATGTGAGATATGGAACACGACTCAAGTGCAGACAAGAAGATTGGAGTCTTTCCATCAGTACTGCTTAAGAAGAATCCTGAGAGTGAGGTGGTTCCATCAAGTAAGTAATGAGGATGTTTTAAGAAGGGCATAAATAACTGCTCTTGCTGACATAATAACAACAAAACGGCTGCGTTGGTTTGGACATGTCAGTAGAATGCCTGAAGATCGGTTACCCAACTATTTACTTGAATGGAAACCCAAGCATGGGAAGAGATCAAGAGGCAGGCCTAGGAAGACCTTAAATGATGTATTTATTGAGGATGCTGAGCAGAGATTGGATCGGAATGGACTCACGATTGATTGTATGAGAAGATTAGCTGCAGACCGAAAGGGATGGAGAAATGTTACCCGCCGAAGTTGTATAATACAAAGCAATGACGCAGTCGACGCAGACTAATCCTTTTGGATGGAGATCTCGCCATGTAACATGTATGTAACATTATGTTGGTAATTTATAACGAACAGTAATTTTTATGGTAACTAATTTTATAGCAATGATTTACAAATAATGATTTATGGAGCCTGTCGTATTACTTAAGTTGTTATGCCTATTAAGGCATATGGAAGCTCAATTACTGATTATTCCCATATTTTTAACTGAACGAATAAGATTGTGATGAATGTGATTTTTAATGTGATTTTTAATTAGATTAAACACAATTAAACCAAAACCCTTTTTGCCGAGATTCGGGATTTGACTTCATATTAAGAAAGTATAGATTACAACTGTAAGATTTGAGGCATTGGACAAATTTTTTGAAAGTACACACATTCGGGAAAATGGATATTTTTGGAAATATTGAGAAGTCTGTCACTGAAATACCGATATTTCAGTCAATTTAAACGTTTTTTGGCTGATTTAAAAAAAACATTATTCACAATCCGTAAAAAAAGCTATTTAAAGGATTATACAATTGAATAATAAATGACGAAGTTACAGACCTAACAAGGCCGAGAGAAGCAAAATTGAAATTTTTGCAAAAAAAGTTGTACATTTTACCAATCACCCAGGTCATAAGATATCGCTCCAAAAATTCTTGTGAGTGTATGATGATGAAAATCTAAAATATATGGCTACAATGAGCATTTTAATAACAATATTAATTCAATCCTATAATGTGTCATGTAATAATATTAAAACCGTTGTATGTATCTACTTAACAAACTTCTTATCGGTCATGTAATCCAGAAAATTTGTTGCTGTTAATAGATAAGCAGCGTTATCACTCAGAAATCAACCCAGTTATAATAACAAATTATCATAATCTGATGAGTCAGTTGTGACTGGTGACACGTATCCTAGTGGTGGTCGTCGATTACACGCTATATGATGCGGTAAAAGTGGTCTGGGTTTCTTTTCCTTTTTCTTAGTTACTCCTGCACTGCTACTTTTGATTGCTGAACTTGTCGAGACAGTGTCCTTATCTTCTACTGATTTTGCTTGACTGCAAACTGCACCTTTCCTGATAAAATGATGTTCGTTTGGCGTTTCTCGAGCTTTCTCTCTCAATTGTGCTACCAGTTTTCGATGTTCTACTCTCTGCTCCAGGGTTCGATCAGGTGTCAAGTAAACATTTTTGAAAATCGTGCTTTTGAGCTCCTTCGATTTTCTCAAAAGATCTGTCAATGCGGCTGAACTGTCCAATACGACCTTGACAGGCCTGGAAATGTCACTACTATGCTGTTTCCCGATCCTCTCTGCCTTAAAAAAGGGTTTCTCTTCAATCGACACGAATACTTCCTTGACTGTAGAGTGAATATCTTCATCCGCTGCTTCCTCCAAACCGAATATCATCAGGTTTTTACTCCTATCTTTTACAATGTCTTTTACAGCGGTTTGAATTTTCTTCAAAGTGATCGATTCAACAGTTGTCTTCTTAACAGCCTCGCTGTATGATTTCAGTTCTTTCTTCAATGTAGTCTGAATACCAGATTGAAGAATATCTATCTGTTCCCTTTTGCTAACCAGTAGCTCACTCTGGACCTCAGCTAGTTCTTTGATTGCATGTTTTCGCTTCCGATTTCAACGAATCTACTTCTAAACATCCACTTTTCAGCAACTTGATCAAGTCTAGCGAACAATTGACAACTTAGAAAAAGAACGATGACAGATCCTTTTTCGTTCCTCCATTTGTAAATACCAGCTCCTCAGTGAACTCAACATGATCTTTTCGACCGATCTTCTTGTACAAAGAATGAAAAACCGCCTCTGTTGTTCCAATCTGTTTCACTGCATCTTGGTAAAAAGTAGCCATCAGGCCCCCCTTTACACTTTAAAAGCTAATAAACTTTACTGATAACAGAGCTCACAAATTGGACGCGTAAGCAAATTGAACATTTCTCTTGTGAGTGTAGCTGATGATCATATCCAACTTTTTGTAACAGGCTTTCTCTCAATTTTGAGTTTTAAGGTATGAAATCTGGCCTCAAAGGACTTAATAAATTCATCGTAAAAAAGGCAGATTTAAGGCTTAAAATGCCTATAACTCAAAAAGTGTCAGTTTTAAAAAGAAATAATTTTTACAGAATCGTAATCAGCTTGATAAGACGAATCTTTTTGCTTCTCTCGGCCTTGTTCGGTCTGTAACTTCGTCATTTATTATTCAATTGTATAATCCTTTAAAGGGCTTCTTGTACGGACTGTAAATAATGTTCAGTTAAAGAATCAGCTAAAAAACGTTTAAAATGACTGCTAGCTGCATGCCAGGACTCCCAAAGTATATACGAAATCATAAATAAATAAATATCAACGCAACAGACCTCTGGATTCTTGAAGCTGTCACTACCTGTCTCAGAGCAAACCCACTTCAGTTGTAGTACTTCAGCGGGCAGACAAGGAATTGGTGCTTCTATGTGGATTTTATATTTCCTGACGTGAAATTTAAACTTTCGACGTGAAATTGAAACTTTTAACATTTAACCTGAATCGAATTTCAACTGAAACGAATATAATCTAAGTTTAAATTAAGTCTATTGTCTAATTAATGGCTTGCAACAGGGAGCAGTATGAAAATCACACAACCCAGCACATAGAAACTACACTAAATGACACAAATTAAATAACAACATGCAATTACTGACTACCAATATAATAACCACTCGCATAACTACCCCCACTTAGCGTAGATAAGCAAGCATTTCACTGCCGCTAAATTCTTTTTCCATACATTAATCTCAATCGCGCACTCATAATTACTGTAAGCGCTGAGTTACCGGCCAAAATCATTAATCACTGATGGTAAAATTTTGCACAAAATTTTAAAAACAATAGTCCAAGCTGTTCAGTGCAATTCTAAACTTCTTAACCTATAGGATCGATATTATGGATGTGTAATATCATGTGTAGCGTGAAGCGTTGTGTTTTTAAATCTGTAGTTCATAGTACTTCATGATCACAGTGTACTTTTTGATAAACCGTGTGCAGTGCCCTTTCCAGAGGGTTTTTTTTAAAGAATTCTTTAACGTTACTATTTTCTATCTATTACTGTTTGTATTATAATTTTGAGTAAACATTAATCGAGTAAACCGCTCGATTCCCAATCAATCATGTTAACTCCTAGAGGGTTACCCAAGGAGATTTTTTTCTAGTCTTTTTGACTGTTCCACAAATTTGATGATGTGGTTGATTTTGCTGTTGATAATTTCCTCCATTGTGAGAAGAGGTTAACCAAATATCCTCAGTCTGATAGTCATCAAATCTTATTGTTGTAATCTATACTTTCTTAATATGAAGTCAAATCCCGAATCTCGGAAAAAAAGGTTTTGGTGTATGTCGTGACATATCAAAGACATTAATTATTATTTAAAGTCCATTTATCTGTTTTTAAATTCATATTGAATTTATTATCATATATGATACAAGAGAAGCACCAATATGTAGAGGATTAGGACGCCTCAAACTCAATTAAATATACTTTTGTTATATGATAAATTTTTATTGTGATTAACAAAGATAAAAAGTAAATTGTATACTCCCTAAAACTTGTTCTTCATTATTGCTATTATATTGCGAAGCAAAGACTTTCCAAAATAAAATACATACACACTTGTTGGGAGGTTATCTTACACAAATATGTGCTTACTTCATAGTTAATTCCCATACATATTTCATAATAAACATTAAACAAATCTTACTCAGGAATATGATACAACTGCAATGGCTGCTATTCCTGTTTTTATTTTCCAACTCAGAGGGAGCTAAGATACTTGTAACTGCCCCATTTCCGGGTAGTCACTATTTTGCCTTGTCAGATATTGGACATCTACTCGCCAAACAGGGACACGAAATAACTTTTGTATCTCTAATAATTGATGATCGTCATACTATTCAGCACGAAAACTTCAAGCTGATACCACCATTCTGGGAAATTTTGACTGCAACAGAATTTGATGAGATAGCTTATGCATGTGTGGCCGATGTAATAAACTCAGGGAGAGACGAGTTCATGTACACAGATACTATGGTTTCAAACTATGTGTGTAGAATAGGTTGGAAAAGGCTCTATCGCATGTTCATCGACTATTACACTAGTGATCAATTCTTAGCCTTGATAGAAAAAGAAAAATTTGATCTTATTATTGCTGAGGAACGAACTGCTCTTCCAATTCTTGCAGTGACTAATGATGATGACATTCCACTAGCTGCCTACATTCCAGAGGTTGAGTACAGCAAAACAAGAGAGGTTCAAAATCTTCCCATGTTTCTCTGCAGCGAACCTGGTCTGGCAATTCAAGTTTTCAATGGAGAAAAACCAGGATTTTGGAAGAGATTCTATGCTATGTATAACCTGGTTTCCGGCGGAGCAATGTTGACATCTGCTATTGAGGATATGTTGGAACCGACTTATGAAAAACATGGCGTTAAATCAACTCAATCCTTAAACGACAGAATACAGCTTTTCATTTTGAATGATCATCCAGCATTTTCATTCCCATATCAAGTTGCTAATAATGTGGTTCAAGTAGGAGGTTCAAGTTTGAAAGAAGGACAACCACTTCAAGGTGATGTAAAAGAATTTGTTGAAAAACAAACGGCCCCTATTGTTCTTGTATCAATGGGAACATACACTGATCTCACATGGTTGAAATGGCACACCACCTTGCTTGAGGTACTAGAAGAAAGCAATTTAAGTGTTATTCTGAAAGTCCGCACAGAAACTCAACACAAACTCCCTGCACTTTCAACCAAGTTCTATCTCTCATCCTGGATCCCCCAACGAGACCTATTGGCTAGTGGAGTTATCAAACTCTTCATATCACATTGTGGGAACAATGGTAAAATTGAAACAATATATTACCAGGTTCCAGTGTTGTGTACTCCTGTATTTGCAGAACAGGCTCTTAATGGTGAGTCCGTTCAATACAGAGGTTTTGGAGAAATGATTCTTCCTAACAAAATGACAAAGGAAATCCTGAAGCAAGTACTTGATAAAATGATAAAAGAAAATGATTCATATCGCGTTGAGATGTCTAAAGCAGTCGACATCTTTACAACGGAGCCAGCTGATGGAAAAGAAAAATTGCTATATAACTTAAACTTGCTGTTAAAGTATAGAAACTTGGACTACTTGGTCAACCAGATTATCAAACAGCAGAATTTCTTAGAGATGTACCATTTAGACATTATAGGTTTTGTCCTTCTTATCGCAATATTTGTTTCGTATATACTCTCCAGAATTATTTACTGTGGGTTTGTAATGGTTTTTTGTAAATCTCGTCAAAAACAAGATTAGTCGAAAACGTTTTAGTTAAATGTTCTGTATTTTATGTTTATTTTATGCTCAATTGATTGGCAAGATGCTATAATTCCGAACAAAATATTTTACTTCATAAGACAGGCATACTTTTTATTCATCTTTGATCTGATTGTTATGATTAGGAGAAAGTTCGAAATTGTGTGTCATTTTTCTCTAATTTATTATGCTATCAATCTTTATATCTGCATGTTAATTAATTATCAATATTTGATGAGCTTAATATATTTAATTTATTTACAATGAATGTTTACAACCTGCGGCCAGGGAGCAATTCTATCTAACTCTGTCCAGAGATTTAATTCTATACCGGGTTAACTTCATTGACTGAACCATTGCTATTCGATATGAAACTACGTTAGCAGTTTAACAAAGAAAATAAGAAGCTTTTGTTGAAAGTAAAGACTCTCAACTAGTTGCAAAATGAAGTAGCTATAGCTACATTTTAAAATGCTTTCATAATGTTTTAAACGTTTGCCCATATAATTGACTCAAGTCTAAGTAGTTAAATTTGGTCTAATTTCAATATCATGCAATTCAACGATCATATTCATCAGGAGGGGAAGACTTCAGCGAAATTTCAACATTCTAACTAGTTAATATGTCATGTATGTTATGTTGGTAATTAATAACGAATAGTAATTTTTATGGTAAGTCATTTTATAGCAATGATTTACAAATAATGATTTATGGAGCCTGTCTATTACTTAAGTTGTTATGCCTATTGAATCATAGTTATGGAAGTTCAATTACTGATTATTCCCGTATATAAGTGTGAATGTGATTTTGTAATTGGATTAAACACAATTGATCGTGACATATCAAAGACATTAATTATTGTTTAAAGTCTATTTATCTGTTTTTAAATTCATATTGAATTGATTATTATATGTGATACAAGAGAAGCACCAATCTTGAATATGTAGAGGATTAGGACGCCTCAAACTCAATTAAATATACTCGTTTTGTTATATGATAAATTTGTATTGTGATTAATAAACAAAGATAAAAAGTAAACTATATACTTCAAAAACTTGTTTCATTATTAATATTATATTGCCTACCTTACAAGACATATTTATGGCGGCCTAATTTGCGACGACCGAAATTTTGGCGGTCCGAAAATATGGCGAAATTGAACAAAAACCGTCAAATTTCGGACGTCACAGAAAATAAGGGTATTTTTCATCATTTTTTGTGACAGTAAGCAGTAAGGAAATTTCTGAAATTCGGTAAAATCATGTTCAAACTTAGTCTGTATTAAGACTGTAAGACTTTCATGTTAGCACATACATGTATTTTAATGCAAATTTAAACTGTATTGCTTGACATTCAATTCGTCATTGGTGTGGTGATAATTTGTCCCAAGATGCCAGAATTTATTTATTTATTTTACTTGATATTACTTTTTAGAAACAAAATAAAGCAGTGAAGGCACAGTCATTGAAATAAGCTAAAAGATAATGCGACGGATTCTATTACGACGACCGAAATTTTGGCGGTCCGAAAATATGGCGAAATTTTGTAAAGACTTTTTTAAATGCATACACACTTGTTGGGAGGTTATCTTACACAAATATGTGCTTACTTCATAGTTAATTCCCATACATATTTCATAGTAAACAAATCTCACTCAGGAATATGATACAACTGCAATGGCTGCTATTCCTGTTTTTATTTTCCAACTCAGAGGGAGCTAAGATACTTGTAACTGCCCCATTTCCGGGTAGTCACTATTTTGCCTTGTCAGATATTGGACATCTACTCGCCAAACAGGGACACGAAATAACTTTTGTATCTCTCAGGATTGATGATCGTCATACTATTCAGCACGAAAACTTCAAATTGCTTCCGCCATTCTGGGAAATTTTGACTGCAACAGAATTTGATGATATAGTATATGAATGCTTGGAAGATGTAATAAACTCAGGGAGGGACCAGTTCATGTACACAGATACTATGGTTTCAAATGAACTGTGTAGAAAAAGTTGGAAAAGGCTCTATCGCATGTTCATCGACTATTACACTAGTGATCAATTCTTAGCCTTGATAGAAAAAGGAAAATTTGATCTTATTATTGCTGAGGAACGAACTGCTCTTCCAATTCTTGCAGTGACTAATGATGATGACATTCCACTAGCTGCCTACATTCCAGAGGTTGAGTACAGCAAAACTAGAGAGGTTCAAAATCTTCCCATGTTTCTCTGCAGCGAACCTGGTCTGGCAATTCAAGTTTTCAATGGAGAAAAACCAGGATTTTGGAAGAGATTCTATGCTATGTATAACCTAGTTTCCGGCGGAGCAATGTTGACATCTTCTATTGAGGATATGTTGCAACCGACTTATGAAAAACATGGCGTTAAATCAACTCAATCCTTAAATGACAGAATACAGCTTTTCATTTTGAATGATCATCCAGCATTTTCATTCCCATATCAAGTTGCTAATAATGTGGTTCAAGTTGGAGGTTCAAGTTTGAAGGAAGGACAACCACTTCAAGGTGATGTAAAAGAATTTGTTGAAAAACAAACGGGCCCCATTGTTCTTGTATCAATGGGAACATACACTGATCTCACATGGTTGAAATGGCACACCACCTTGCTTGAGGTACTAGAAGAAAGCAATTTAAGTGTTATTCTGAAAGTCCACACAGAAACTCAACACAAACTCCCTGCACTTTCAACCAAGTTCTATCTCTCATCCTGGATCCCCCAACGAGACCTATTGGCTAGTGGAGTTATCAAACTCTTCATATCACATTGTGGGAACAATGGTAAAATTGAAACAATATATTACCAGGTTCCAGTGTTGTGTACTCCTGTATTTGCAGAACAGGCTCTTAATGGTGAGTCCGTTCAATACAGAGGTTTTGGAGAAATGATTCTTCCTAACAAAATGACAAAGAAACACCTGAATCACATACTTAATAAAATGACAGAAGAAAATGACTCATATCGCGCTGAGATGTCTAAAGCGGTCGACATCTATACCACTGAGCCAGCTGATGGAAAAGAAAAATTGCTATATCACTTGAACTTGCTGTTAAAGTACAGAAACTTGGACTACTTGGTCAACCAGGTTATCAAACAGCAGAATTTCTTGGAGATGTACCATTTAGACATTATAGGTTTTGTCCTTCTTATTGCAATATTTGTTTCTTATTTACTCTTCAGAATCGTTTACTTTGGGTTTGTAATGTTCTTTCGAAGATCCCATTTTAAACATGATTAGTTATAAAGTTTTTACATGGACTTGTTCACAATTAATTATGATATTTTTGTATTTATAACAGGAAGCCATTGCATTGCATGTTTTATTTAACTAGATATGATTTTAAATTGTATAGTAGATGTATATTGTTTTATTTCGAATATCATTTTTAAAATACAGTTCATTGGCTTAAAAGTATGAAATATGCTATTTTATTTCTTAGAATTAACAATTTTTTAAGATCTGATGTTAAACCCGATGAGTGTATGCCCGATACCCTAATCCCTTCATTTAATTTTCCAAATTTTTTTACTGAAAACTTCATCTACATACTGTTACATCATACAAACATAATTTTCAATAGTATCATTTCATGTCTCCTCGCCGGCCTACTCTAAAACTTGGGTAACGTCGGGCAAGCACCAGGTATTTTTGTAATTATATGAAATTGACGATTTAAATGGAAGTACTTCAGTTTAAAGTTGTTTCAGTTTAAAGTTTTTTGTGAAGCGACAGAAAATAATATTAGATGAAAATACTTTTATTTTTTAGTACTAATAATACTATAGTATTAGTTTCTAGTACTATGGTACTTATTTGGTTTTGAAAAGCTATTCGAGCTGATTTATTAGATGATCTAAATAAATTGTAAATGACCAAATTTAAAATGGGGATTCAATATGATACAATTTAGACACGAATCAAATTTAGCGGAACAACTTATATATTATTAATCTCTGTGTCAAATGTTGTAGGTTTACAACCTACCAGGACGCGCGCCGAGTTGGACTCGTCGACGGTCCAATATATGGAACAGATATTTTACGAGTATCACCCGTTAATGTCAAATAATATACGATACTGTATTTATAGTTCATAATTTAGATAATTGCGTGTATGCGACCAAAGAAAACAGCTCAATCCAGGAATAAATAACTGTTGAACGTTTCAATTTAATAAAATCATCAAGTATATTCGTGTATTTTATTATAATTTTGTCAAAAAACAAAATACAAATAATATAACAATGACCCTATATAAAAATTCAATAAAAATCCTTGACCATTGTGCCAAGTTAATTAACGAACTTGGCACACAAAAGACTATAATGCGGAGGTTGGCTGGCTCTTCTATAATAAATACGACACTTCAATTTACAGAATGCTTGCTAGAGATAAGACAAAATATTATCAGACTATACATGCAGCATGAGTAACTGGTGGATAAGCCTTCGGTAAAAACGGATCCGGAAAAGTCAATGCGGCACTCGGGTTTTTGGTATTGTCGTCGGTATATTGTCCATTATCTACGTTCTGCTTTCGTAGTTTAAACAATAGTGATTTCTAAATATACAGCTTTAAACCGATTAAGTATGAATGAATGAAATACCTGACAATCCGCACTCTTATAATCCAAAAGCATGAGTAACTCAAAGTGATGTATGACTTCTAGAAACTTTAAATTAATTTTGGCGCTCACAGGTCCTCATGAATATGTGATCGCCGCATAAGGTTCTGTAAATGCGCAGGGCACCTTCAAGCTTAAATTATTCACCTTACTGAGGCAGTCAACCAACGCGCGGCTTTATTTTTATGATATGATATGTTTTGATTGTTATTAATAAATACCAAAATTTAAATTTGTTTTCGGAAAAAAAAAATTTGTTTTCCAAATGATTTGGCCCAGCGCACGCTACTTCGAAGAAATTTAGACGATTAATATCCGTCAATAAAAATCCGCGTAGTAAAAGTAGCCAATTCAATGTAGTGGCTCTAAATTTATTATTTTGTTATAATCTGTGTCGTTGCATAAAAAACTGTCTACCTATAAAACTGCACAAGCAGATATACCACACACTATTTGAATCACACCTTACGTTCGCCATCTCAGTATGGGGTGGTGTCTCTAACCAAGTTATCAACCCTGTATTCTTAACACAGAAGAGATGTATTAGAATAATTTTTGGAGATGCAAACTCATACCAAAACAAATTCAAAACATGTGCTCGTTCTAGACCTATTCAATGTAAAATACTGGGTAAATATGAGTCTAATGTTAATAACTCTGTTAATCCACGTATTAAACCATGTGCAAAGTGTGTCCGCTCTAAATCGGCTGTTCATAATAAACTTGTTAGACCCTTATGTTGTCAAAAACTAGGAGCTGAATTCTATTCCAAGGAATCAACCAAACCATTATTTAACAGTCATAAACTCCTTACTGTTCATAATCTTTACAAACTTCGTACTATAACTGAACTCTTTAAAATAGTGAAATATAGGGTACCCATATCTCTCTACTCTTTACTTAACATGTCTGAACTGAGGGATGACCGTCTAATACCACCAAAGCCAAGCCATAACTTTATTTATAAATCTTCTTGGCTTTGGAATCAATTCAAGGACTCCAATCCACAGAATAAACCTGACTTTGTGAACACATCCTGTAACTCAATCAAATCAAGGCTAAACCGATCTCTTCTAGATGCCCAAAGCAGGTTCGATAATGAGTGGCATAATGACAACTTTAACAGTTTTGGACCATGCTAGATTATTGATAAAAACGTGGAATTTATGTAAACAAATACTTAATTACTTAAATATTGCCGTTTCTGTACGGCGCTATACGTAATATATGTTAAAAGCGCGCCGCAGCTACTCCCTACCTCAACATTTGCGCGGGTTTCTTAAGCGCGCACGTACGTTTATTCTTGGCCGTTAATCAGACCCATGACATAACGCTATAGGTGGCAGTGACTGTAATTTTCTTCAACAATTACTGAATTATCCATCCATAAAGTGATTTACAAAATGACACCTAAACCTCGTGTTTCGGTGTTCACTTAAACGGTACTTGGCGGCTGAACTGTGGTGTCTGACGTTTGCAGCTAGATCGGACTCTGCATGATATTGTATTAGCAAATTTGTATAGTGTATAATTGTTTAGTGTTTATAATACTCTGCAACCTGGTAGCACGGCTGACACAAAAACAAAATGTTGGCATGGCTTGTGCATAACCAAGTAAATAACACGCACTCCGATAAAAGCCGTCTGGAGAAACTCCGCAAAATGTTCATTGTAGTCAACGGGCACAAAGAAGCACTACTAGCAATTGTGTCCTTTACCCTCCTACATAATTTGAACATTTTTGTGGCTAACTCATTGAACAACATCTGAATTAAAATGTGTCTAGTATTAAAAGATTCAGTAAGTAATTTTTTCATGTACGCTGTACACTGTAGTTAGTAAATCAAATCAAACTTTTTCGATCAGCCGCGCGCTGAACCAGTGTTGCACTAGGTAAAAATTGTGTATATTTTGTTCATTTTTGAGTGTAAATTAATTTATTAATTTATCACAAATTATTTTATTATAATATAACCACTTATGTGAAATGGTTATTTTGACTTTAAATATTTGAACTAAATATGAATTGATTGTGGGTATAAAATAAAATTTGTTTTACTAAAAATTTGTTTTACTGTAACGATGTAATGGATGGAATGTAGCACCTACAAAAAATTAATATAATAGATGCAATTTGGCCATGCAATTTCACGTGTGCTTGAACCTTGTTGTCATCGTTTGTTACAAATCCTATTTTTAGCCTGATGGTTAAAACTTGTAGCGCGATGCGTTACTGTGCCGCGCCGCGCCGCACACTCACTGGCTAGATCGGCGAGATGCGCTACTGTGCCGCGCCGAGCTGCCATGAATTGGAATCGTCAATTAAGTTAAAACTTTCGAGCGTGCTAATAATACAGTCGATCTTTGAGATTTTCTAAAAGGGCCCCCGACAGTTGAGACCAAATTAATTCGATGTATTTTCGGACACTGATTCCGAAACAGCGCGCGCTTTCTTTTTGAAATGGCGCACGTTATAGTGAAACAAATTTAGTGAAACAAATTTAAAATTTAATCCTTTATTTTACAATCATAATATAATAATATTTATAAGCCTCCGTTTTGAAAGTTTTAAACTTCAATATATCTGCATTTCTATTTACAGTTCAATTTTATGTATAAGTCAATAACTGGCCGTCAAAGCCGCGCTTTCATGAAAACAGGATTAACTTTCTTATAGTTATACAACAAATTAAATTTAAAACTATCTGTGGTTTTTAAAATAAATTATAATCTTACCTAAATCCAAAGCCTGCTTTATAAAAGTGAATTTTAGATCAAAATATATCGTCAATTCTAAATATTTACAATGCAACATTTCATTAATCTATAAATATTCACCTAACCATGTGCTTTCGCGCCACTGCGGGCGCGCTTGTTTCACAAGTCAAGAGAAGTCCTTTTTACCGCCGTGAGGCGGGCGCGCGCTACTGCAAGCGCAAGGGCTCTGGATAGAGCACCTATAAATATGAAATAATAAATAGCATACTCCAGCCCCTACAGCTACACGAATCGCAATTCTTATGCGGCGCGGCTCAAGTCGCGCACAAACGTATATTTCCGCCATAACACATAAGCACATCCAATTTGATACGTATGAAATTTGTTTATAACTTGCTTGATTATGCACTAAGTTGACGCTGCTCGACCAAAATTGAACGAGGAATCATTTAAGATTAATTTCGATGCACCTCGACAAAAGCTTCCTACGCTATTTTGCTTTTTATGGAGAAATACGTCTGCAGCATACAAGTGCACATAATAACTCTGGATACATTGCAAAATAATTTATCTCGATTCATGAAGTTTGACAGAAGTTACAGTAATGCGCGCAATTTGGGGAGTTTGCTTTTGGCGGAGATATAAACTGCGCCTTTCGAAATAGGACCCGTGGCAGTTAAATGCTGAAAAGAAGCGATCGCTGGGTTGGTCCTTGCTCTAACCAGAGCCCTCTCGCTTGCAGTAGTGAAACAAGCGCGTCAAGCAGTACGCGTATACACATGGCTTTACCTTGGGACCTCAGGCTATTATGTTCATTAACCGAATAGAGATTCGGCGGAATGACAAGCTGAGCGCGCGGCCCAGTAACACAGTACATGGCTATGTGTTACCTGGGGACCTCAGGCTATTATGTTCATTATCATTCAAATGGTCAACGGAGTTATCTGTTAATTTTTTTTGTTTGTTTATGGCTAGAATTTAGAATGGAATCAATGTGAGGATCCAAAGTTAATTACCTGCCAGCGTTGTCAAATTGAGGATATCCAGTCTACGGCTGTAAGGAAGAGTT